GGGAAAGCAAAAGTACTAGGTTCAAAAATAGCTGCATTACTCACCGCAACCCACGCAAAGCTCCCCAGTGCAACGGAGTGACCCACGACTTACTGCAAGTGCCCTTATCGTCCCTGTTAGGGTTTTTGTTTTCGTTTATACATTCAATTAGCAAGTACTAAATTACAGTTTTATATATGTAGTTCAACAGTTTTATTCCTCATCAAAGTGTTTGATTCTTTGCCGCGACTATTTTCTCCTAAAGGAAACTCAAATATATTTCTAGTAATAGAGCATTTTATATTATCAACTTGTTTTAATATCCTTATTAAGCCTGTTTTAAGCACGTGTTTCGATCATTGCACAAAAAAACCCACGCAGGTGATTACTCTCTAGATTACTGTTTAAGATTTTACTTTACAAAAAATGAGAAGGACTTCCACATTTTGGTCTCTTGCCGTTCCCGTAAATTAAGACAAAAATCCCACGCTGCCTTCTGTACTAAAGAACAAACAAAAATCCCATACAGTTTTTTCAAGAGCATCCACCTTCAACAATTCACTCTGCTATTGCAAAAACCAGCATTTGTAATACCGTGGCCATTTCCACAGTCAAAGACCATGTTGTTGCACGGAGGAGAGGTGGAAGAAGGAAAGGAGAAGTCTAGCTCCTTTTACCAAACCGCAGTCAGACTGAAATTTTGTTTCAGTAGAAAAGTTTGGAGGAGAGCAGATATGCTGCAAAGGGACAGGTAAAAGCTAGGGAAAACAGAGGTGAAATAAGTAACAAACCAAAGGTGTTTTTAAACCACCTGTGACCATAGCAAGTTGTTTTCCTCCCAAAACACCCTGACCTCTCCGCTATTGCTATGTCCAGGTGCCTCATAGCTGCCCCAAGGCACGGCCAGCTTGGTCCTCAACCCGGGTAGCCAGCCCACAACCTGCAACACTCAGCATTACCTCCTACTCCAGAAGGAAACTTCAAAGAAAGTGCCCTCTCACGACACTGACAGATTAAGGTACCCCAAAGACAGGGGAAGAGGCTAGCAATGGGTCATCCCGCCCTTCAGCCCCCGTTGCCCATCAGCGACTATCGCGCGCACGGCTATTTCCTCACGTCGGCACCGTCTGGCAGGCAAACGTACGACAAGAATACCTTCCCCAAAGCACTTCTGTATATGCGAAGTGATCACACCGCTACACCTCCAACCGTATTTTGGGACTAACGTGAAATGCTGACGAGCAAGGTGATTTTCAGCAATTACTAAGTACAATGCGTCACAATCCAATGTAATTATATCAGAATAACTTCAAGGAAAAAAAAAACTGCGGGTTTTTTTTTTTTTTGGAGAAAGCATGGGGAGTAGCAGCACAATGGACTAACCAAATGTCTGGCTGTTGCAAACACCAGCTTATGAACGCACTAGACTGTTCCTTAAAACCAGCTCTTTCCCCCGTTCCCCCCATATCACAGGCATTCATAAACAATCCCCACTGGTACCTAGGAAATCCAAAATTGCTGCTGTTGAGTATACAACCATGATTACCCAAAAACGTGCTGCAGGGATATTCAACTCCAAAAGGCAGGGCAAAACTGCATAATAAAAGTGGGACAAGTTTAACCTTAATTCTAACTCCACAAAGCAAAGCACTGAGAAGCCCTCCAAAAATAAAGACAGCTATATTGAGTATGTCTGTGTTCCTTTAAGTTTCATTATTTAGATAGGAATATTTAATGTTTGCAGATGGACACAGAAAGATTTACTTACAAACACAATTTAAAAGGAAAAACAAAACAAAACCACAAAACAAAAAAAATTAATTCCCAATTAATTGGGCAAAACAACTTACAGTTCCCTTCACCCTGGCCAAAAAAAAAAAAAAAAAAGGGGGGGAGAGCCAGAGGGGCAAGTAATACAATAGCAACGGAGAAAAAATTAACTCTAAAAAAGTTGGAATTCCTATTACTTGCATCAGTGTTATTTCTTAAAGGAAAACAATCTTTTACTTGAATATTGTTTTAAAAAGCTGGAAAGGTACAATTATGTGACCTTCAAAGAGTTATTCACGCAAACATCTGTACCACAGTACCACACTCAAGCAAAGCTTGTTACAGAATCACTTTAAACCAATAATCAACAGAATTAGTAGACCGCCCGATACTAAATTTAGTAGTACAAAGCTCAAGAGATAATTGTTCATTTTAATCTAACATGACTTTATCCAAGCTTAGCTGTTCAAATCCACCAAGAGTATTTACTACTTAAGGTCCTTATCAGCAAGAAACAAATTTAAATGTTAGGAGCTTGCTACATGTCTCCATCACATGGCTGGTCTTACTCCAAAAGTCAGTTGATACCAAGTCCGATAAAGACGACAGAATAGAAATGCTCTGTTTAAGTCCCCTGATTTCTCCCCAAAGCCCCTAAGAAAATGGTAATAGAATACTTCCAAAGTCCAAGAGAGATTAAAAACATGCATCCAAAAATGCTCTGATGTGGCAACCTTGTAAGTACAATTCCACACAGAACTTTCTTTTTTCTAACCATCGTTTTGTTAGCTAGATGCCTTTTAAGTTTCATACAAAGAAGGGTATTCTTCCCCATGTTAACAAGGGAAAGCAAAGAAAATCAAGTTAATATCCATGTGAATTCTCAAATCCTGTTACTTAGAAGTTTGAACTGCAGAGACCGTCTATTAATTACGGTTGTAAGGGACATCTGGAGATGGGTGACCTGGTCCAATCTCACTCAAAGCATGGCCAACTTCAAAGCTGAAGCCATCTTTCTGATCAGGTTGGTCAGGATGACTACCAGCCAAACTCTGAGTATCTGGAAGGACAGACACTCTACAGCTTCTCCGGGCAACCTATTCCAACGTATAAGAACACACTGAATGGAAAAAAATTTCCTAATATCCAATCAGTACTTCCAATACTGCATTGTGTGTGTGGTCCCTCTCATCCTTTCACTATGCACCTCCCAAAAGAGTCTGACTCCATCTTCTCGATAAGCTCCCAAGAGTCTGCTGAAGATGAAAACTTTGTGACTAGAATTACTATTTTTCCAAAAATCTTCAAATAAGAATCTGAAGATAGATCATTTATTTTAATCAAATAATGTCATAATCTGCCTTGTCCCAGCATGGAGCTTTCCGGTATGGAAAAACTGGAGGATCTGCAGGAGAGATCCTAATCTGTTCCTTAAGACCATAAAACGAGGAAAAAAAGCAGCTGTTTGATGTTTTCTAACACACCCCCAAACACATTTCCCTAGTAGGAAGCATTTGAAA